CTTTCTGACCCCACCTCTGAGTGCTGAGATTAGAGGTGTGCTGGAATGGAGTTTCAGGCCAGCAAGGGTTACATATAATAGACCCCGTTGCTGGGCAGTGGTGGCGCATGCCTTTAATCCCAGCACTCAGGGAGGCAGAGGCAGGGGGATCTCTGTGAGTTCAAGGCCAGCCTGGTCTACAGGAGTTCCAGGACAGACAGGGAAACCCTATCTCAAACAACAAACAATAAATCTGCGTGTGTGTGTGTGTGTGTGTGTGTGTGTGTGTGTGTGTGTTCATGTGTGTGTGATTGTGTTTGTGTGTGTGTGTGCACACACGTGTGTGTGTTTGTGTTCGTGTGTGTGTGCAGGCACACGTGTACCATAGTGCCTGTGGAGAGGTCAGAGAACAGCCTTGAGTCCTTGCCATCTACCTTGTTTGAGACAGAGTCCCGGTTCACTGCTGCCCACACCAGGTCAGCTGACCCAGAAGTTCCTGGGAATTCTCCTGTCTCTGCCTCCCGTTTTACCAAAGGAGCACTGATTACAGATGCCTCCAGTGCCTGGCCTTATTTATTTATTTTTCTTAACATAAAAACAGTTTATAATTCAAAAGTCCAGGTTTATTTGAAACTGGAAAATATTTTCTCTGTAGAAAATAGTAAAAATGATAACATTTCCCAATAAGCCCTTTTAAGCCAAATAATAGCTGAATTAATACATATAAATATTGATTAGATTCTGGGGTACAGAAGGGACCTATCTTCATCTGTTCAGAGAGCTATGTTTTACTTAAGCTGTGTGAGTGAGATTCCTATTCATCTTCCTCTTCACTGTTTGATTTTCCAGTGCCTGGCTTTATGTGAGTTCCCAGGAGGATTTGAACTCAGGATCTCACGCTTGTGATTCACCCACTGGGACCCTTGGTTCTGACATCCTAGAAGCTCGTCTCCATCTATGACTGATCAAAGATGACCTGCAGGGGACATAACACTGATTCACATGGCACGGGAACCTCAGGAGATTGAGGCCACAGTCTCCCTGCTCAGGTTCTGCGCCGCTGGGGTGGATACACGGCACAGCCATACCAGGTGCATATTTCTCAGTAAACAGTTCATTTGTACGAAAGAAGCTTAAATAATTCAAAGACTGAAGACCAGCTTATGTTTTTCACCGTGCAGATCCACACTCCCATCTGGGTAGCTCTTCCTCTGGCCCCAGGCCTTCCTGTGACATTCCGTGGACTGTCACGGCAGATATGTTCCTGAACCTTCGGTATGTCTGAATGCCCTGTTTTGTCTCCTGCTTTGAAAAAAATTTTTTAATTGGGCCATCCAGATGGTTCAGTAAGAAAGGGCTCCTGTCAACAGGCCAGACCCGAGTTCCATCTCCCGATCCCACACGGTGGAAGAGAACAGACTCTGGTCCTCTGATCTCCACGTGCACCACGGCACACACATGTACGCGTGAGTGCGCACACACACACACACACACGACACACACACACACACACACACACACAAATAAATAAATAAATATGTAACACAAATATTTAAAGGGCAGGGTTGGAAGGCTGGGCAAAAAGACAAGTCGTGCCTGGATGTTGTTTATAAGATTGAAATATTACAAAGTATTTTCTCTGACCACAGCGGAAATCAAATTCAAGAGGATATCTCAAAACACCACAAGTATTTGGAGAGTAAATAGCCCGGAGGTCAAAAAAAAAAAAAGGAAGTTAAGAAAATAGGAATTATATAAAACTAAAATGAGAAAGAAAATAGGAAGGTGGGGGCTGGCGAGACGGCTCGTGATGGGGTAAAGGCGTTTGCAGCCAAACTCAAGGCTCCGAGTTAGAGTCCTGGAACCCACATGCTGAAAAGAGAGAAATCGTCTCTGGCCTCAGGCATTTGTGCACAATACATGATAAATAAATAAATGTACAGAAAGAAAAGAACCAGGGCATTGAGGTACATGCCTCTAATCCCCATACTTGGAAGGCTGAGGCAGGGGAATCAGAAGTTCAAGGCCAGCCTCAGCTGAATATGGAACACCAAAGGTTCTACATCCAACAGTACCTAAGCTTATAGACCTGAAAGGCAGGACCCCCCCCACCCGCCCCATGTGTGTGCTGTGGGGCACTGTGGGCAAACCTCAGGGACTGTCTTTAGGGTTCTGTTACTTACCCAGCTCCCCCACAAATAGGGAGTTTGGGGAATATTCTACATCAGAACAGGAAGGCCACCTCCAGTCTTTTTTTAATATGCATTTATTTGTATATTTATTTAATACAAGCACACATGGAAGTGTTTCTAACATTTCTTCCTCCGGGGAGTTGTAAACAATGTCTACCTCCTCCCAAGGTCCCAGCGACAAACTGAGGCACATTCTGCAAAAGTTCACCTGGGGTACCAGAGGCTTGGTTAGGTGTCCTTGTAGAGCAGGGGGTGAGGGGCTACGGGCAGCAGCCACGCTGGAAGGTCTGGAGTGATGATGCCCTCAAGGCTGCTTAGAGGGAGCCCCCATGCCCCTGGTCCTTCCCCACCCACCGTGTGCCGCTCCCGAGGCCACATGCATTTAAGGCAGAATTGCATACAGCTGGCTGGGAGGGGCTGCCGGACACTCAGGGGAGGGTCCCCTTGTGGTGCCGCTTTGTGTCTGCCCAGTCCAGTTCCTGGATATGGCAGGTAGTCTGGCTTGTTGGACGCTCCAACAGGTAGTACAAAGGGCCAGAGGACAACTGGTGAGGGTTATCTCCTCCTGCCCTGTGAACTCTGAGATCACACTCAGGTTGTAAGACGTGGTGGCCAGTGCCTTTACATGCTGAGCCACTCTCCAGGCCCTGGGCTCCAATGTTTAATCACATACACAGTATTCCTTTGGGCCACAGAAGACCCCATAATATACCCTTTGCCTGTTGGTATTTTTTTTAAATAATTTATTTTTATTTTATGTGCATTGGTGTTTTGCCTGCATATATGTCTGTGTAAGGAGGGTGCCAGATCCCCTGGAATTGGAGTAATAGACAATTGTGAGCTGCCATGTGGGTGCTGGGAATTGACCCCAGGTCCTCTGGAAGAGCAGCCAGTGCTCTTAACCACTGAGCCATCTCTCCAGCCCCTGTCCATTGGTGTTTTGTGATTTCCTCTAGCAATCTCAATGTTACCCAAGTGCTCTACTACTGAGCCATACCCCCAGCCCCTCACTGGGGGATTCTAGGCAGGGGCTCTACCACTGAGCCACACCCCAGCCCCTCACTGGGGAATTCTAGGCAGGGGCTCTACTGCTGACCATGGCCCCGCCCCCTCACTGGAGGATTTGAGGTAAGGGTGTAACCACTGAATTACACCCTTGACTTGCTTCTTTGAGATGGGATGTCGCTACACCCCCAGGCTGGCCTTCAACTCACAGGCCTCCCATCTCAACCTCTGGCATGACCCTTCATCTACCCCCTGCTGTCTTTGGATCCTGGCTCCAGTTTGTTGATGGAGTAAATGATTGTGGTCCCAAACCCAGTCAGAGAGTCTTCTCTCTTCCATTTCTCTTCCCAGCAGTGGTTGGGCCCATCTGAGTCAAATTCCACTCTGTATCCGGCTTCATCCATTCACATATCTCGGTGTGACACTTTCAAGGCTAATCTGAACTGAGTCAGGTACCGATGCTTGATCTCTCTCTCTCTTTAGAGATTTCCTTACCATCTAACAGGTTTGAAGTTTGATTTATTTATGTGTTTGGCCAGCAAGTATGTCCATGCACCACATGCACGCCTGGTGTCTGGGGAGGTTAAAGGGTGGCGCCGGATTCCCTGGAACTGCAGTTACAGACAGTGTGAGCCACCATGTGGGTGCTGGAAAATGAACCCAAGTAGGCCCTCTGGAAGAGCAACAAGTTCTCTTGACTGCCACGCCATCTTTCCAGCCATGTTTATTTATTTGTTTGTTTGTTTGTTTATAATTACATATCTATTTGTGTGTAAGTGTGTAAGTGAATCTGGGCATCTGAGGATGCCCAAGGCATTGAATCTCCCCGAGTTGGAATGACAGGCAGAAGGCTGCCCAATATACGTGCTGGAAATGGGAACCTAATGCTGAAAGTGTCGCAAAGGCCTTTTACCCTGGGCCATCTCCCCAGCCAGGCCCTTTTACGGTTTTGAGACAGGGTCTAGCTTTGTAGCCCAGGCTGACTTGGAATTTATGGAGATCCAGTTGGCCCCCAACTCATGACCCTCCTGCTGCCGCAATGTCCCCAATTGGGTATTACCCAGGTGCCACTGTGGCCACCACTGGCTTGTCATTCCTCTTCATTGACAAATGGCACTCCGGGGCACATATATGTCCCCCAGTGTCAGGTACTGCACATTTCTGTGGTTTCAACTTGGATGAAGTGACCCAGGTGCCGTACAAAGCTGGGCTCAGCAGACAGAGGCTGCCGAGTTTCAGGCCAGCCATGGCTTCATAGCTGCGTCAAAAACAAAAACAAAACAAAAAAACCAGGGCGGTTCATGTATATAATCCCAGCACTTGGGAGTCTGAGGCAGGAGAATGGAGAGTTACACTAGCTTAGGCTACAGGAGAGATCTTGTCTCAAAATAATAGCTGGGCATGGTGGCGCACACCTTTAATCCCAGCACTCAGCAGATCTCTGTGAGATCGAGGCCAGCCTGGCCTACTTAGTAAGACCTTAGCTAAAAAGGGCAGTGAGAATCTACATTCCATTTGTTTGTGTGTGTGTGTGTGTGTGTGTGTGTGTGTGTGTGTGTGTGTGTGTGTGTGTGTTTTCTCCACCATGTGGGTCCAGGGGCACACACTCCGTCTGTTAAGCTTGGTGGCAGGCACCTTTACCACAATGCCATCTCACTAATCCCACACACCCCTTTTGTGTGGGGTGGGGTCTTGAGATGCAGTCCGGTCTGGCCCTGTGCCTCTGTTATTTTGCCTCAGCACCCAACCTGCTTGTCACCAAGCGTCAAGAGAAGAAGGCCCCTTTTCAATGATGGAACAGGGAGTCAGAAAACGTGACCACACTGAGATGAAATACATGTGTAATTGTGCAAGCGCCCACCAACGCAACAGCCGACCCAGTCAGTTCCCCTCTCCTGCACGCCAATGACATTGACGTGTCACTTTCAGAAGGTCAAGGAAAGAGGAGGGACATCCTCTGGGCCTCTTACGGAGGGAGGCCTGGGCAAAGAGAAGAAGTTAAGCAATTTCCCAGGAGAGACAGGAAGCACAACCCAGAGACGGACAGCTTCCCCTCTGAAGCACACAGCCGGAGGCTCTCGGAGGCTAGGGCCCCCATGTTGTTGCCAATGTCCAGACAGACGTGCGTGAGGTTCCAACCCCGGCCCCTGGGCTGACCCCTGGCTGCCTCCTCTTTCTGACTTCTCAGGGAAAAAAAATAAAATAAAATAAAACACAACCCAGGCCAGGAAGCATCCATCACAAGCCGTCCAGCTGAGGCCGGAGGGGCAGAGGTCAGCAGGGAGATGACCTCAAGGACTAAGTGGGGACTCGGATCCGGCTGGGCTCCGGCTTGAGAGGCTGGAAAATTTCCCACCCTGAGACTTTTCCTGCATCAACCCAGGAGGGCGCCCTGGATGCCGCCGGCCCAACCCCCCAGCTCCTTCCTCTCTGGACGAGGTTCCCCTCGCTAAGCATGGATGGGGAGGGCCGTGCCAAGGTGGCAACAGCGAACCCAGAACGTCAGACACTGGGATAAATAAAATAGTGGTGTCGGGCTCAGAGCGGCCGAGCGCCTGCCTCGGAGCCACACAGATCAAGGACTCGGTATCAACGGGCAGCTGGGCAGTCTGGCCTTCTGCGGCTTCTGTCCATGTTCGCTGTCCTCCCTAGGAGTTGGACCCCAGCCCTGGTGGCCTTGGGTGTGTGCAAAGAGTGCTTGGCCCCGGGCCCTGTCTGCCCTCCCCTGCGCTTGGGACTCTGCCCTTCCTAGTGTTAAATAGAAACCTCTTTATTCTAAGTATCTACCATTCCTTAGTACGTTGGACTGGGGCCAGACCTTGAGGTGAGGGAAGAGGAGGTGGGGCGGGGATATTTGTGTAGAGCCTTCCAGAAGGCTCCCCGCCATGCTGGGCTATGGGGGAGGAGGGTGCCGGGAATGACCTCGGTGGCCTGGGGGGGGGGGGGCTCTTCACTCATCCTGGCCTCTGTTTCCCTCCTAGGGGGGACACTCCGGGCTGGGTGGGCTAGCCAAGGCACCTCCCATCCCGGAGGTCTGTGTCTCAGGCAAGGAGTCACGTGGGAGGCAGGCGGGTGGATCCGCAGCAGCATGGGCACCAGCAGCCTCAGCGCTGGGCTCTGGCTCTAACTGAGGACGGAGGCCGAGGCCGCAGGGGCAGACAAGCCAGGCTGGGCCTGGCCAGCCGGGAGACGGGGAGGCGCCCCAAGAAGAGAGGGAGGCCGAGGCAGAAGGATGAGCGGGGCACGGGGATGTCCGCAAAGAAGGCGCGGTCCCGAGGGGGCGAGAGGGCACCGCCTTCAGAGAGCTCCAGGTCCCGGGCCACCGCCAGAATCTCCTGACGGGCAGCTGCGCTTCGAAGTCCTCTGATGTCCAGGAGGGCTGCCACATGCTTCCGCCTGGAGGGAGAGGAGCACAGGGGTGCTCACTGGAGGGCCCCGGGATCCAGACGGCACCCAGCCCGTCGGTGCACCCCGCTTCAACTCTGGAAGCCTGTCTCATCTCCAAGTGCCATCTCTTGTTCCTGTCTCCTGCGGCCATTTGCACACTTCCCATGTGGAATCTTCCAGAACTCTCACCTCCAAGCCCAGTCGGAACGTCCTTTGGTCCGGCGTCTCTAGTCCTCATTAATTTAGCTTTCAGTCTTCACCCTAACTTACCTCCCCAGTCTACTCTTCAAAAGAATTTTTACAGTAATGGAGACTGAAGCAAGGATCTCACACCAGGAGGGTTCTAGGCAGGGGCTCTACCACTGAGCCACACCCCCAGCCCCTCACTGGGGGATTCTAGACAGGGGCTCTACCACTGAGCCACACCCTCAGCCCCTCACTGGGGGATTCTAGGCAGGGGCTCTACCACTGAGCCACACCCCCGCCCCTCACTGGGGGATTCTAGGCAGGGGCTCTACCACTGAGCCACACCCCAGCCCCTCACTGGGGGATTCTAGGCAGGGGCTCTACCTCTGAACTGTGTCTCTATCCTTCCTTTTAGGTTTTATTTTCAGATAGTGTCTCACTAAATTGTCCAGGTTTGCCTTGAGCTTCTGACTCTCTCAGCCTCCTGGCTAGCTAGGTTTACACACCTGTGCTGCTACTTCCTGAACTCGGTCCAGGTGAACTCTCACTTGGTGGACACTGCAGCACACCCAGCGGTCCCACTGCCCTCACTCAGCCTAAGAGGGTCACCCCGCTACATCCCAACCCCCTCTCTGCAGGTTTGGAACTTCCCCACCTCGGACAGCCAAACCTCAACTCACTTCATTTAGATCGGTCCAGACCCATCCCCTAGAACACCAACTTCACTCCTGACACATACCCCCAAAAGTCCGAAAGTCCCAGGACAGGGTTACAGTTCCCGGTCGAGTCATCCTTGAGTTCAAAACCAACTCTGTTCTGCAAGACCTCATCCTAAATCCCAGCTACCGTCTCCACTCCACCTCACTCAGCCAAAACAGACCTCCAAAACTGGTGCGATAGATCGGGCCTGCGATCCCAGCCCCGAGGCAGGAGGATTGCCACACATTGGAAACCAACCAACCCGGGCTGCCTCAGAACAAACCGCAAACGAGGGCTGTCGAGATGTCTCAAGGCACTTGCGGCCAAACCTTAGGGCTGGTGTTCAGAAACCCCTGGGAATCAATCACACGGTGGAAGGAGAGAAACGACCCCTCGCAAGGTGACCTTTGACCCTCAGGTTTGCCCGGTGGCATGTGTGCTCCCCACCCCCACAATTAAAACATGAGAATAGTAAACAAAGATGCCAGGCGGCAGGTCTTTAATCCCAGCACTCGGGAGCCAGAGGCAGGCGGATCTCTGTGAGTTCGAGGCCAGCCTTGGCTACAGAGTGAGTTCCAGGGCTACACAGAGAAACCCTGTCTTGAAAATCAAAACAAAACAAACAAACAAATAAATAAAATCTTACTTTTACCATTTCTACACTCCCCCTGTGGTGCTGTGGATGGGACCCAGAGCTTTATGTATGCTCGGTGAATGCTCTACCACTGAGCCATACCCTCAGGCCCTCACGGGGAGATTCTAGGTAGACGCTGCCCACTGGCCACATTCCTAGCTGTCATTTAAGCATTTAAATCTCTCAAAGTCACTTTTTTTTTTTTTTTTTTTTTTTGAGTCTGGTGCTCTATATAGCTCTGGCTGTCCTGGAACTCACTCTCTGTAGACCAGGCTGGCCTCGAACTCAAGAGATCCACCAAACCCCTGCCTCCGGAGTGCTGAGATTAAAGACGTGTGCCACCACACCGGGCTGGACTGTACTTGTTAGTGTCTGACTGCCCTAGATAATGATGACGGTGTAATTCCCGCAACCAGTCCACAATTAGGGTATTACCATCCCTGGGCAGCAGATAAGAATGAGACTCAGGGAAGGTCCCAGCGAAAGGAAGTGGCCCACCTAGATTCGAACGTGCCTGGTTGCTGTCCCCTGAGTGTGCACCCGCATGCCCGTGTGTGTTCCCCGTGTCCCCGGCGGTTCCCTGCGTGGCCAGCCCTTCCTGCCGCCAGGCGGCCTGCGCCCCCCTTGCCCTGGGCTTCCTGTGGCCGCTTGTTTGTTTGCGAGCACTGGTGGCGGTGGCGGCCGAAGGAGGGAAATCGTATTAAGAATGCCCTAGTCCCAGCAGGAAACGGCCGTCAGACACGCTCGCCGCCACCCTGCCCTGGCGCGGGCCAGGAAACGCTGGGACGGATGCCAAGGAGACCCGGGCCTGGCTGCATCTCACCTGATGTCTGGGTAGTCCCGCACAAGCACCCCGACCTCCACCTGGATGCTCGGAGTGTCCTCCAGCTGCAGGATCTCGGCCAAATGCGGCACCACCTGGTCCAGCCAGGAAGCCTGGGACTCCTGTGGAGACAAGGGCTCCAGGGTCACCCCATGCAAGCTCTCAATACCCCTTTCGTGCTGAGCCCTGCTCTTGCCCAGGCCCTCCCCCATGTGTAAAAGGGCGCAGAAGGCAGACCCTGGCCAGCGGGTAGCTAGAACCTTTACTTATGTAAATCCGGGGTTGGGTCACAGGATTTAAAACCGGCCAGTTGGCCAGTTGGTGGTGGCGCACACCTTTAATCCCAGCACTCGGGAGGCAGGTGGATCTCTATGAGTTCGAGGCCAGCCTGGTCTACAGAGCAAGTTCCAGGACAGCCAGGGCTACATAGAGAAACCATGTCTTGAAAAACAAAACAAGACCAAAAACCCTACCAGCTAGAGTGGCGCACTCCTTTAACCCCAGCACTTGGGAGGCAGAGGCAGGCGGATCTGTGTGAGTTCAAGTCCAGCTTGATCCACCCTCCAGGACAGCCAAGGCTACACAGAGAGACCCTGTCTCAAAACAAAACAACCCTGACCCTATGCCATCCAGGTTTGGTGGCAAATGCCTATAATCCTGGCACGTGGGAGGTGGAGGCAGGGGGATCTGGAGTTCAAAGTCATCTTCAGCCATAAGGAGTCTGAGGCTAGTCTCAGTCTATCTCAGTTGCCTGAGGCCTTATCTCCAAGACCAACCAAACAAACAAAAATGCCAACACTGGGTAGGTGGAGGCTGGGGGTTTGGGGGTTTCCATAGCCAGAGGCGTAGAACCATTCCAAGTCAGGGGGTCAAGGGTCAGCATGTGCAGGGATTTGGGTTGCACCTTAGGCCCTGCCACCAAAAGCGAAAAGTGCAAGATGTGACCATGCGCAAAGCATCGCTAAGATGTCCTGAGGGGGTCCTCTGTGCTCTCTCCTAGGGCTGCCTGCAAGCCCACGACAATTATCTTGAAAATGTTTCAATAAACGCAAACTCCCAAGGACACAAGCTGCTGGTGAGTACATGCCGCCCCGCCCCTGCCCCACCAATGACAATTCGGGACAAGTAAATTCTTGGATTTGATGACATTTAGATTCAGAGGTGTTTTCTCTAATTTTTTTTTTTTTTTTACTTTTTTTTTTGGTTTTTCGAGACAGGGTTTCTCTGTGTAGTTTTGGTGCCTGTCCTGGATCTTGCTCTGTAGACCAGGCTGGCCTCAAACTCACAGAGATCCGCCTGGCTCTGCCTCCCGAGGGCTGGGATTAAAGGCATGCGCCACCACTGCCTGGCTTCTTTTATTTTTTTGAGACAAGGTCTCACTACATAGCCCTGGCTGGCCTGGGATTCGATACATAGACCAGGTTTCCTGGGTCATCCTTCACAGGGCTGTTATTACAGGATTACCATGCCCAGTATATCTTTTTAATAATTTATTTAACTTTATTTTATGTGCATTGGTATGAGAGTGTCAGATTCCCTAGAACTGGAGTTATAGACAGTTGTGAGCTGCCATGTGGTTGCTGGGAATTGAACCCGGGTCCTCTGGAAGAGCAGCCAGTGCTCTTATCCTCTGAGCCATCTCTCCAGTCCGTATGGCTTTTTTCTTTAAGGAAATATTTTAGCTGGGCATAGTGGTTGCACTCAGGAGGCATAAGAAGGAGTTTGTGAGTTTGAGGCAAATTGGGTCGACAGAGCGAGTTCCAGGACAGCCAGGAGTGCATAGAGAGACCATCTCAAAAACAAAACAAAACAAAAAATTATTTTGTATGTATAGGTGTTCTTTCTGCACCGTGTGGATGCCTGGAGCCCCAGAAGCCGGAACACAGTGTTGGATGAGTTACAGACGGTTGTGAGCTGCCGTATGAGTGCTGGGAATAGAACTCCAGTCCTCTGCAAGAGTAGCCAGGGCTTTTAACCCTAAACCATCTTTCCAATCCCTGCCCCCCCCCCCCTTTGGGAGGCTGTTTTTCGGCCTTAAATTCGCAATCCTCCTGCCTCAATCTCCCTAATTCTGGGTGGCAGGTGTGCACCATCATGAAACCAGTTTCTGTTGAAGGACCGTTTCCAAGAGCCTTCCCTCGTCCTGCTTTGGAAGCCAAGCAGCCCACCCCCCACCCCCACCCCCAGCCTCTGTTTCCCAAGCCCAGCCGGGCACTCACCAGCCGCCGAAAGAGCCGCTGTAGCTGCGCGGCATCCTCTCGGAGCCTCCCGGCCACGCGGCTGCGGGTCCTGGCGGAGCGACAGCGCAGGCGCCCGCGCAGCAGTGGTCGCACGTACTCCACCAGCGCCCGGCGGTGCAGTTCGGCCACCAGCACCTGGGGACAGTGGGAGGCCGGGACTCTCTCTAGATCGCTCCAACCCAGCAGGTTCATGAGGAACCCAGGTTCCACGCTCTGCGCATCCAAACCGGGCACTCGGGACACCCGACGGGAACGCGCCCCTTCTCACCCAGTGTCCAGCTCCTCTACAGCTAGGCCCTCTACAGTTCCCTTATCCTATCAGACCCTTAATCAGATACCACTCTCCCTAAAGCGTGCCCCAACCCTAGGCTCCCCCAAACTCTTCCTTGCCGAAGTCCCAACCTGGCCCTGCACTCTAGTTCCCAGGGAACTAGTTCCCTGCACTGCAGTTCCCACGTCTCCCAACTGCAGCCCCCAGATCCTTGAGGTGCCACCAGACACCCGACACCCCACTTGATAGGGTCTCCCCCAGAAGGAGAGCACTCGGGGCATCTCCACCCTCGAGCCCTCCATCCGGTCAACGCACCTGGTAAGGCTCATCCTGCATCCTGCGCAGGGCCAGGGCCTGGGCGCCGAGTGTGCCCACGATGCCATCCAGGGCCTCGGAGCTGCTCAGCCACTTCCTGCGCATCAGCTTGCTGAAGTGCGGCTGGGTAGGACAGCGGGGAGGGGAGGGTCACAGGCTCCTCTCTCCACCCTCCCACACATCTCTTAGGAAAACCTTCTTATCGGTGTTTTTTTTTTTGTTTTTTTTTTTTTTTTTTTTTTTTTTTTTTTTTTTTTTTTTTTTTTTTTTGATGCACACTGTAACAGGCTGGCCTTGAACTCTTGATCACCCGGCCTCCATGTCCCAAGGACTGGGATTACAGGTGTGTGCCCCACTGCGGGCTGGGGACACTTCATTTAAACACTCCCCAGAGGGAAGAACAAAGGCTGTGTCGTGACGGAGGTAGTCCCTGCCTTGCTGGGACTCACAGACTGCCAGCACAGTGTCAAAAAAGGCTTCCTGGAGAGGGGAATCAGGCTCAGAGGGCTGGAGGATGTCAGACAGGGGAGCGAAGAGGGAGGGCTAAGCGCCTTCCAAGGTGTAGAACTCGGCCAGCGCTTGTGAGAGCTGGGATAGAGACCAACCCGGCTAGAGAGACCATTTACATCACTTTCAGGGAGCAGCGCAGAATGAAAACTGGGAACACATGACTGGGTGTGGTGGCACACGTGTTTAATCCCGACATTCGAGGAGGATCTCTGAATTCTAGGCCAGCCTGGTCTACATAGGGAGTTCCAGACATAGTGAACCCCTGACTGAAAACAACAGAAATTGGGGACCCTCCTTCCAAAACTATTAGGACTTTCAGAACTGTGTCCATCGTCTTTATCATCATCATCATCATCATCATCATCATCATCATCATCATGTTGGTTTCTTTGAGACAGGGTTTCTTTCTGTAGCTCTGGCTGTCCTGGAACTCACTCTGTAGACCAGGCTGGCCTGGAACTCACCGACATCCACCTGCCTCTGCCTCCTGAGTGCTGGGACTACAGGTGTGTGCCACTGAGTCAGGCTTTATCATCATTACTATCAGTTCAAGTGCTCCATCAGTGAATAATATCCTAATCATTTTCTTTTTCAGACAGAGTCTCATGTACCTCAGGCTAACCCCAAACTCCTTCCCTTCCTCTCTCACCTACCAGCTTTCTCAGACCTTCCAGTGCATCTGAATTTGTATCTCAAAACATACAATATGAGTAAAGATGAAGACCACAGACTTCTCTGGGCGTGGAGACTCATGCCTGGAAGCCTGGTATCCGGAAGGGTGAGGCAGGAGGTCTTGGGACTTTGAGGTCAGCCTGGGCTACATAGTGAATTCCAGGCTAGCCAGGGCTACATAGAGAAACCCTGTCCCAACCCCCTAAACCCCCCCACACCTTTAATCCCACCCTGAAGAAGCAGAGGCAGGTACATTTCTGTGACTTCCAAGCCAGCCTGGGCCACATAGTGAAATTGTGTCTAAAACAAACAAAATAAGGGATTCAGTGGGGGGAGTTGGAGATATGGCTCAGTGGTAGAGCCTCTGCCTAGAATCCCCCAGTGAGGGGCTGGGGTGTGGCTCAGTGATAGAGCCCTGCCTAGAATCCCCCAGTGAGGGGCTGGGGTGTGGCTCAGTGGTAGAGCCCCTGCCTAGAATCCCTCAGTGAGGGGCTGGGGGTGTGGCTCAGTGGTAGAGCCCCTGCCTAGAATCCCCCAGTGAGGGGCTGGAGGTGTGGCTCAGTGGTAGATCCCCTGCCTAGAATCCCCCAGTGAGGGGCTGGGGGTGTGGCTCAGTGATAGAGCCCTGCCTAGAATCCCCCAGTGAGGTACTGGGGTGTGACTCAGTGGTAGAGCCCCTGCCTAGAATCCCCCAGTGATGGGCTGGGTTGTGGCTCAGTGGTAGAGCCCCTGCCTAGAATCCCCCAGTGAGGGGCTGGGAGTGTGGCTCAGTGGTAGAGCCCCTGCCTAGAATCCCCCAGTGAGCGGCTGAGGTGTGGCTCAGTGTTAGAGCCCCTGCCTAGAATCCCCCAGTGAGCGGCTGAGGTGTGGCTCAGTGGTAGAGCCCTGCCCAGTCTTGGAAGCCCTGAGCTTGGTCCCCAGCTCCTAAAGGGTCAGGAAAGCAAAGCCCTGACATATCCTGCTGCAGTAAGTGCTTTGGGAGAGAATACTGGAATTCTCCAGGACCCCTATTCCTCCTCCTCCAGCAACAGATAGGGGTAGAGCTCCATTGGACATGTTGACTCTGAACTCCTAGGCTCAAGGGATCCTCCTGCTTCAGCTTTCCCAGTAGCTGGAAGTAAAGGTGTGTACTGGTACTTTGTAGACTAACCTGGCCTCAAACTGCCTCCAGAATGCTGGGATTAAAAGCACGTGCCACCACAGCTGGCTGGCCAAAGGTACTGTATTTTTAAAATATTTTATTTATTTATTTTTATTTTACATGAACATTTGTCTGTGTGAGAGTGTTGGATCTCCTGGAACTGGAAAGCTGCCATGTGTGTGCTGGAAGTTGAACCCAGGTTCTCTGGAAGAACAGCCAGTGCTCTAAACAACTGAGCCATCTCTCAAGCCCAAGGTACTATATTTTAAGAGGAATAATCAGGGAACATCTCCCTAAGAATGAAAGAAGCTGGGCAGTGGTGGCGCACACCTTTAATCTCAGCACTGAGGAGGCAGAGGCAGGCGGATCTCTGTGAGTTTGAGGCCAGCCTGGTCTACAGAGTGAGTTCCAGGACAGCCAGGGCTACACAGAGAAACTCTGTCTTGAAAAACCAAAATGAAAAACAAACAAACAAACAAAAAGATTTGAAAGAAGCAAGGAGGGACCCGGGCTACTGGAGGAGGAGGAGCATCCGAGCAGAGGAAACCGCAAGGGCTGGGGCCCAGAGGCAGGAAAGCGTTCAGGAGCTATGGTGTGAGGAGACTCAGAGGTGGAGGAATATGAGGTTTCAGAATAGCTGACTGAGGGGCCTGGGGGCACAGCAGGGCTTCGGGCTTTTTCTATCGGCGATCTGGGAGTCTAGGGTGGATTCTGAGCAGAGAAAGGGTACATAGGGTCCCTTTATACTGCTACTGAATGGCTTCTTGCCTCCCTGCGGTCCACACAGGACCTAACCCACTTATTACCTCACCCCCTCATGACATTTAAAGAGGCCAGTGGTAGCTGAAGAAGGCTCTGGGGGGCATGGAGAGGCATGACTTTGGGGGACCTCAGTAGGGAAAGTACTGCACAAGCCCTCTCTTGCTGGCATCTCTCTGCCCATCCCACTCAGCCACATCCTCCCACCTCTTCCTTCCTATGCCCCCCTTTTCCCCCTCAAACAGTTCCAACATGGCATACACCCCCAGCCCTCCCTGTTTCCCTGAACACTGAGTCATGGGTTAGAAGGAACTGTGGGGTATAGGGGAGGTGATGCCAATCCATCCTGGCACAGCCCCACCCCAGTCCCCTGTCTCACTCACCTGTAGTTCCTGGAATAACAGTTCGGCAAGGACGTGATGGCAGAGTCGGGTCACACGGTCCAGAGCCATGGCTGAAGCTTCCCGGGCGGGCTCACTTTCAGGGGGCCCCACCCTGGCCAGTCGCTCAGCCAAAGACCTGTGAGCATCAACAGGATTCAGAGCCCAGCCCTTCCACCGTCTGAATGCCCCTGCCCTGCCGGGACCAGCTGGGTCTGGGGTAGCAGATCTGTGATCCCAATTACTGAGGAAGCTGAGGCAGGGAGATGTAAAGTTCAAGGCCAGCCTGGGCTACACTGTGACTTTAAGACTAGCCTGAATGGGGCTGGAGAGATGGATCAGTGGTTAAGAGAACCTAGGTTCAGTTCCTAGCACCCACATGGCCACTCACAACCATCCATAACTCCAGCTCCATGGGACTTCACACCCTCTTCTGACCTCTGAGAGGACTGTATTTACGTGCAAACACACACACAGGTGCACGTGACAGAAAGATAGCCGGGCGGTGATGGCACACACCTTTAATCCCAGGGCTCAGGAGACAGAGGCAGGTGAATCTCTGTGAGTTTGAGGCCAGCCTGGTCTACAGAGTGAGTTCCTGGACAGCCAGGACTACACAGAGAAACCCAGTCTCAAAAAACAAACAAACAAACAAAAGACTAAAGGTCCATCCAATTCAAGGATAAAACTCTTGCCCAGTCTCCTAGGGCTTGGATCGGATCACCATCAATGGGGGGGAAAAAACAGAAAAGGAGCAATATACATGCATGTGGTAAAATATTGAAATACAGATACTGTCAGAACACAGTCCAAGAATGGAGCTGTGTGAGAAGGATCCTGAGTGCTTGTGAGAAATCTCTAAGAAGCCAAGACAAGAGTCTTGTGACCTCAGTTTATTAAAAACAGAGAATTGTTCTTGGACAATGCTTTCATGCCCCTCCCAGGCATAGTGGGTAGCTTGCTTCAGATTAGTCCTCACATCTGGCGATTGATATTTGTTTATTATGTATGCCTCTATGGAAAAACATGGTTTTGCCATGTGTGGCTTGTCTGGTGACTCCTCTTAAGAGTATAAACTGTCTGATGCTCTGAATAAAGTTGGCTACTGCAGACTTTAGTCTGCCTCATTTATCGGCTCCATTCTCCCAGGTCCTACCATCTCTAGATTTTTTTTCACCAAGACAGGGTTTCTCTGTGTGGCCCTGGCTGTCCTGGAACTCGCTCTGTAGACCAGGCTGGCCTCGAACTCACAGAGATCCGCCTGTCTCTGTCTCCTAAGTGCTGGGATTAAAGGTGAGCGCCGCCATGCCCAGCTATCTTTTTGAGTGCATTGGTAAATGTGTAAACTACCAGTCAGAATATATATGGATAATACCAATACCATTGATTTCTCCCAAACAGGCCAGAATTTGGTGGCCAGGAGCATCACCATCATTATTTATCATTTTAATTATGGGGGCATGCCTGCCAACGCACACGTGTGGAGGTCAGAGGACATCTCGAGAGAGTCAGCTCTCTGCTTACACCATGTGGGTCTCAGGGGTGAAAGTCAGGACATCAGGCTTGGCTGCAATCAGTTTTCACCACTGAGCCATCTCACCCGCTTGAACCCCCAATTTTATGAAGGCCATTTAGGGGTGCAGCTCAGTGGTAGGGTAGTAAGCAGGTACAAGGAGCCCGGTTTCATCCCATCAGCGATAATTAATCAACGAAGCCTGTCATGGAGGCAATTGCTTGTGCTCTCAGCCCTCGGGAGGCAGGTGCAGGTGGACCAGAAATGTTCAGGGATACATGAGACCTGGTGCCAAAAACCTAGCCAATAAGTTAAATTTAAAAATTATATCTGGCCAGGCACTGTGGCGTACCCTTTAATCCCAGCACTCAGGAGGTGGAGGGGAGCGGATCTCTGAGAGTTCAAAGCCTGCCCAGTCCACCTCCACATAGTAAATTCCAGGACAGTCGGAGCTAGAGAGACCCTGTCTCAAAAATTAAATGCAATTTAAAGTAAGTTAATAGAAAAGAAAGGTTTCTTTGCATGCACATGTGGGGGCCACAGGTGAATATGAAGTGTCTTCATCAATGGCTTTTTTTTTTTTTATTATGTGTGATTTGCTGCATGTGTATCAATGTTCCGCCTTTGCCTTTGGAGGCCAGAAGAGGG